GAATAAAATGTTGGAGAACAATAAATATCGAAAGATAAACTTTTATTAGTCATTAATATACCCTTTCGGGAAGAAGCAGAATTCATAGCAGTTAAATTTTAATTCGGAATACGCACAAATTAGGCTCTAGAACGACCCAGGTTTTTCAAAAGTTAGTATTTTCAAACGAAAGTTGCATATTCACGCCCCAAAATGATCGTTCGTGAGAAGGTAAAAATCGATTTTCAATAGACTGCACAGTTGTGATATGAAAATTCACTCTAGAATTGTAACTTAACTAAGCACTGGCAAAAACCAGTTTAGAAATATCAAATACCAGACTCAAAACCCTTTTTGAATTTATTCATTCGAATGTCTTACTATGTAGGTATTATTGTATTAATATTAATAATAATTCATATTTTATTATTAATATTAGCCTAAGGGTGGTTACACCAAGCTACACTTGCACTTGTGTTATCCGTTGATAATGTTTTTACAACTTATTCTATTAAGCCTATTATATATTCCAAATACTGTACAGTAAAACCTGTCTATGTCGACACCACCCCGGTTCCTTCAAAAAGTGGTCTTTTAGACAGATGGTCGTCCAATACAGGTGGTGCTGTAATACCGTATTTCGGTAAGTATTTTGCTCACTTTTTAGCCATTTCTATTAAGCAAAACTCGAGGTGAGCAAAATAAGCGAATTTTTTCAACGATAGGGCTATATTAGTATTGTATTTTATTCTTACAGGAGTCCCGATATACAAGAGTCATCATATTATAAGACAGATTTAACACCAACACTTTAAAAATTAATACAATACTCGCATTTTCTCGATTATAATGCACACTCTCTTTTTTCCGACTTAATTAATTCGACTCGGTTCTTTTCGTTCGTTCTCAGTTACGTGTATTACGTCATCATATTATACAAGCGCGTCGTATCTCTCCATCACCTTGCTTTTGGTTTTCGTTAGTTTAATCTTATTTTAACTTTAAAAATACTGTATTTTTTTAATATTTAATATTTTCTTAATTAATTAAGTACAATAAGAAAAATTATTAATTAATAATAAAACGATTATATTATTTTTTTCTCATTATACTATTTCATTACAATCGCGGAATCGAAAAAAGGAAGTAAAACTGATTTTTGCATTAATGCGTTTATTGTTTTTTGAATATTTTGCCTGCGAAAATTACTTGGATATTATTTTTCTAAAAATATCGTGGAAATAAGGTAGGTTGATACAGAAACTATTTATCGCACGTGTACTGTATACAAGCTTCGAAATAAATAAATAAAAATAGATTTTATCAAACGATGAGATCAGCCGATTAATTGTATCGTGTACAATATTTTACACCCTCAAGGAAATTACTGTAAGTCTAGGGTAAAATAAATTTTGTTTCTCACAATTAAACTTCGCCGCTAATTGCTGTTGTGATAAATTTAATACGATCTTCTAACGACAGCACTTTGCACTTCGGACATTTTCCAACAAACTGAAATGAATTTCCTTGTTGCTAGACTAATTTATTAACACTGCAACTAATTTCTAGGGTGGGAGAGGTGCCCGGGATGGGTTCGAACGAGAGTTTAGACTAATTCATTATATGAGGAGGTGGAAACGTTGTTGGGATGGGATCTTACAATAGTTTAGACTAGATACATTTGCGAAAATGGTCGCTTATTACAGGTGTTGTATGTTGTTTCGGACTAAAAATCGATGCCCGCGGTCGCGTTACACAGGTGGTCGTTTAATACAGGTAACTTATACGAAGACTCTATGAATAAACTATTCCGTGCCAGAAATTTTTGCCCGTTTTGACAGGTGCCTGTCAAATGCAGGTGGTCGCCTAGGCAGTTTTCACTGTATTGCAATTTGCCAATAAGAATTAATAAACAAACCTTAAGAAATAAGAAATTAGAGAAATTAGTAAACTAACCTTATAATAAGAAATTAATAAAGTAACCTTATAAAAAGTTTTACCACAATAATTGTGAAGAAGCTTTAACTGAATTTGCATTCATGTAAATCGTATTTACTCTCTGACAAGAAATATTTGGAAATCGTCGAATTATCCGAATGAGATTTTCTCCTTCATAACGGTAGAAATGAATAAGCATTAAAAAAATACACACAATAAGTGAAAGCGGCTACAAATTCAACGATGAAGTTGCATATTTATTTATTTTTCTTTCAATCGTAATTAAATTCGGATTATTTTCTAATATAAAGCAAACTAATAGCATACTTTATACATAAAAAGTATCCTTACATATTTTTCTCGGCAACAAAATTACGATAATTAATGTTTTGCAAAATCAAAAGGATAATATTCTCGTGCCACTTCTATATTACAAATTAGGTGCATTGATACAGTACAGTATTCGTTTTAGTATTTAATTATAATCATATTACAGTATTTGTAAATTTAGCTTTTGCTTTTAGGCTTTAATTAAACAACAAAACAATATACGCTTGGTATTTGTGTGTGTGCTTAACACTATAATCATTTGATTTACCAAAGGGCATTAGGCAAAGAATAGTACAGTATAATTCTATAAATTTAGTAAAAGAATACGAGACCATGTCTTAAATCTTAAACCTTCAAAGCATTGGATGAAGAAGAACCATAGAAGATACTCATACGACATCGCCGAAAGATAATGCGATACTTAAGAGAAGTTGACAGATAAAACGGATAAACGTGTACAGACCAAGGTTTAAACACTGTCCTGCTTGAAACAATGCTCCGGTTAGACATTCTTTCGAGAGGTAGTCAAAAGTTATTCAGTTCAACTTCACAGTACAAATAGTCTCTTTTAAGTAGGCACTTTCTGAGTCACCATTTTCATATAGCGCAAGAACTTTTTCCTTGCTTTTATCTCTCAAAGCACAGTACAAAAATAGCTAGAAGTATTCGTTCTCCCGTATTGAATCTTCAAACCTGAGAGAAAGCATTCAGATAGAACGTAGACATGAAGAGTTTCTAACGTTTTGACTGAATAGGCAAAACGTTTGATAAACCTTGAGAGTCCTTCGTACCCATAAAGATCCCAGGAGACAATTTTTTCGCAGAAATTAGTTTTTGCTTAAACACATATTCAAATTAACCGTATAAACACTTTGAAAGGTTCCCGAGGTTTCATTCAAGTAACTAGGAAAATTATCGAGTAAAGAATTTACACTTTGATAATAACGTGATAATATGCAAATTAATAATAAAATCATCGTTTTTGTAAAGAATTTAGAAGTTTGAACTTTCACAAAGCTTTCGATAAAAATTTGACTGGGTACTTTGACTGTTTTTAATAGAATAGATACTGATAATTGACTATTTCCCAAAGAATTTGCCTCCGAGAAATTATGCAAATTACCTTAAAGGTATACGACTTTTTTCCAGGGGATTGCCCGCACCTGAATTTATGTAAATTAGTTTTAAAAACATCGTTAATTTTAGGATAAGAGCTTGACCTTTGACCTTTGAAATATTACAGAATGCCGACAATCTTATACCGTTATTTTTATTGATCGATTGGATATCACCTAATTTAGCCTCTAGCTTATTTAATTCATCGCTTCTGTTAAGATAATGATCGTTGAGACTCTGACATAAGTCGTCCAAGGCCTTGTTCTTTAAATTTGAATCGAAGTTTCCGGCACTTGTGCAATTTAGGGGGTACGACTGTTTAAAAGGTTTTTCCCCCTTAAAATTAATCGATTTTAGACTAATGTGACTCGAACATTTCCAAAACACGTATAATTTTTTTGGAATAATCCATATAAAATATGCTATAAACAAAAAATTGTAGGAATACTTACCGAGTGTGTACCGTTCGAAGGCCCCTTGTTTAAGCTCGTTTTCGTCGCGGAGCGGCACATCGGTCGGCGGGCGCGTACGAATCTGTCACGTGACATTTGTCGGTGCTATTCGGTCACGTGACTACTCATTCCCGACGTGTTTCCTGATAAATTATTCTTTTTGCGATGAATTCGCTGACCTTTGGAGACATCATTAATAAAAATATTAAAATATCACTCCATTTTAAATATGGATTAAAATCAATATATAATAACGTATGATAATGCGATATACAACTAGTAATTAAGCAAGGGGTCTTCCAACGGTGCACACTCGGTAAGTATTCCTACAATTTTTTGTTTATAGCATATTTTATATGGGTTATTCCAAAAAAATTATACGTGTTCTGGAAATGTTCCAGTCACATTAGTCTAGATTCGATTAATTTTAAGGAAAAAACTTTTCAAACAGTCGTAACCCCTAAACTGCATAAGTGCCGGAAACTTCGAGATTCTAGCAATAAAGTCCTAATTATCGTTATGTGCAATCCTAAACGGTCGGACATGTCTCCGTTAACGGTATTACCCTTCCTAGCTCTATTGTCCTCTTGCGAAGACTGAATTCTAGTATTATATTCGAGTGCATAATGGGTATTCATATTGATCTTACGGTACCGATCTTACTTATTATATAAATAAATCTGTATAATTAAAATAGTTAATGTATATTAAAATAGTCCTATAAACTAACCAGGGAGAATGGCACCGAGAAAGAGAAAAAACAAGCACTTACCGAGAAGAACGTCCTACTGCAAGGAGTTACTAAGCAAGAATGTCACCTGGGCCCGGAAGTACGTTAGAAAACAAAAGAATTTCTTAACAAAGAACAGGTTGCAAATTAGAATACGGCTGACAGGACATTCAGACAAAGACATTCCAGAAGATTCTGTGAGGCCACAAAAACCGGGTTGAAATTAAACATTTGTATTAGAAATTTATTAAAACAAAACTAGAGAGAAAAAACCCTCCATTGTTAAAACCGATCAAAGTTCGGATTCAGTTGTTCTAGTAATATGAAACCAAGACGAGGAAAAAAAATACTATTAATGTAAGACATAACGCAATAAATGTAATCGAGCGTCCTCCAGTAGAGCGCCTTTGACAAGGCGCTCTACTGGAGGACGCTCGATTACATTTATTGCCTTTGACAAGGCGCTCGTATACAAATAATTAGAACAGAAAATCTCGAAGAGGGGAAGGGTTAATTATAAAAGGGGACATCGCGTCAGGTCGTTAAAATCGCGTCATAGACTAGACGACAATGGTTACCGATGAGCGCAACGAGTTCAAAGTCCCATCTACACCTTCCATCCAGAGTTCACGGATGGTGTCGGGTAAATTTCCCGAAGCTAACCTTCTCGGGACCCGAACAGGTCTAGTCTTTCGCTTAGGTACAAACGTGGAACCAGTCAGGATGGACAGAAAGGAGAGATCGGACATTGATGTAATCCCCGATCGTGAAGGACACGACGCACTCGGCGAGTCAACACAAAGGAGTGAAAATCGGAAGCGCTGTGTCAATACACTGACGACGAATCTTTTCGTCTTTGTGCCGATACCGAGCCGTGCCGACGCCGACCAACGGAGTCTCACGAACTGTTTAATTAACAACACTGCCCCGCAGCCACCTATGCAACAAACAACTAAAAGAGCATCGACGCTATCCACTTCCAACCAGCCGATTGTGTTTAGAAAATATTTGTTTCTTAGTGTAAGTTTATATTTTATGCTAAAATAAACGGGTTTTTGTAAGCTACTTGTCATCTCCGCAATGCCGTAACTCGGCAGGTGCAACAGGTGCACCCGCACAGGGCCCACTTGGAAGAGGGGCCCAAAATGCATGTATTTGTTTTATTACTTTCCCAAACCTAATTAATTAAGGGGCCTAAGTGCAAATTCCTGCAGAGGACACAGGAATGGCTAGTTACGGCACTGCATCTGTCTCCTCCAAACCCAGACGCGAACGACCCTAGATCATCCTGACGCAGGGTTATTAGAGAGGTTGAGGCGCACGTTTTAAACGTGTAAACATGTACGTGTGACGTTCGGCGCCGCTTTCCCGTAAGCCTAAAAGTTTGACAATGGTGTTTGGATAGTCGGTGGAATCACGCTCGACATTCCAAACACCATCGTCAAACTTTTAGGCTTACGGGAAAGCGGCGCCGAACGTCACACGTACACGTTTACACGTTTAAAACGTGCGCCTCAACCTCTCTATTAACGATCCCCCTAAAAGTCGGAAAACTTACACTGGTGCGAGAGGCGGGATTTTTAGCCCAAACTTACACTGGTGACAGTGTAGCGGGATTTTACGTTCCCAATATCCACCAGGTCAGCGAACTTACAATTCTAGAAACATCTAGTATTAAAGTATTCCTAAATAAAGTATACAGATATTGAATATATTTTTTAATTTAAAACGAAAGTCTGTTTCAATAAGAAAAAATAACACTATGTCGACTGGTAATTATTTATAGCTACAGCAATTAAAATTTAATTGTATGTCAAAATGTGATGTCTGATTAAATAAAAATAAATATACAGTACAGCATCGATTATCCGACTCAATTGGGGACTGGAGTTGGTCGGATAACCGAAAAATATGAAAAAATACATTCATTTTTCATTAGTATAGTACAGTGTTTTTCAACCTTCTTGAATACGCGACCCCTTTACAAGTTAAAAAATTTTGGCGACCCCCCTAGGGCCATATTAAAACTATATCAGTGCTTTTAAAAACTATGTATTTAATTTTCTTTCTGTTCAGACAAATTATTGTTGATTAAAATGAAAGTTTCAGAAGAATCGACAATAATTTAACACACATAAAGTATGGGATTTCCTTTAATTATAACGTTGGGCACGGGGAGCTGTTGATCTTTGTTTTATTTTTAGGGATCAGAATTTTCAGCTTCTACTTTTACACCTTTTATTTCATTTCGCAAATCAGCTCAACACTTTTTTCGGCTATCATTTTCTGGTGTGGGCCGTAATTCTCGCTGAAATTGTAGTTTTTTTAATGTAGTGAAGCACCTACAAACACTTGTCTTTTTCTTTTACCCGCGACCCCCCGTATAAGGCTTCGCGACCCCCCTGGGGGTCGCGACCCACAGGTTGAAAAACACTGGTATAGTATATCCCAGTATATTAGTATATCGCTATTAACCAACTTCGCGTTGAATTTTCATCGATGTTAAGCCTAACAAAAATTTTTTTTAATAATAATCGTCGCTATTGTATCGTTAATTAAAAATTAGAAAATTAAGCCTCGTTTAAATACTGGCTCTCTTTCATGGTCGAGCCAGTGTTGCCAGCTAAAACACGTAAAAATAATATTAAAGTAGCCAAGATATAGCCAAATATTGTAGCGCCACATCACTAGCGGACATTTGAATTTGCCAAATAGAACGCGGTCCGTTAATCGATGTGACGGTTGATCGGGGGTCGGATAATCGATGCTCTACTATATTTTGTTTGAAAATTAATTATAGCAAGAGCAAACACTTGTGATTAGGGATATGGGGCCGTCCATAAATTACGGAAAGGCAATTTCGGCCATTATAGACCCCCACTCACCTATGTAAGAAACCGTAATATTTTCTTTGATCCCCCTCCCCTTCCCTATCTTATGTAATATTTGAGCATGATTTTATAGAAAGATTTTAACAAAAATTAATTTTTTCATGAAATCCTAAAATNGTGCTTTCCCATCTCACCATGCGAATAATTTTAAGAACTTTATTTTTATGATTTTATATGGACGTTTAGACCCAGTAGATCATCAATAGATCATATGGGACGAATAGGGTCTGTTAGGTCAAAATTTCCATATAAAACCATTAGAAAAATTTTAATTACTGAATTAACAATCTTTTTACCATTAGCCTATTATCATTAATCAACGTCATAATGTTCATTTTTATATTAATTTTAATTTTCACAAAAGAACTCAAAAAACTTTGACAGATCCACTAGCTAGTGCACGTGTAAACAGAAACATCATACAAAATAAAACAAGAGAAAATAGAGAGAAACCATATTCCGTTACCATATTGATTACATCTTGGCAAAGGCCAAGAAAATAAACCAGGAGCTGCTAAAATATGCTAGGTGCACCTGGGGGAGTAAATCATAAAGCTTGTAAAACTGTATATAATGGGGCAATACCACCAATGTTACTTTACGCGGCCTCTAGTTGGGGTCACGTAACTAGTAAAAATTCAGTAGCAAGTAAATTACTATCTCTTCAAAGACAGTTTGCCATCAGAATTTCAAAATGCTGCAGAACTGTTTCTATTAATGCCTCTAATTCTAGCAGAGTCCTTCCTTTGCCATTATGTATTGTAGAAAAGGTTCTAAATTACTACATCAGAACTACAAACATCAAGGCTCAACAACTATCTCTACTCCTATCTACGGCTGTTCATATGCTACCACATTGCAATAACCCTACTATCTCTGATCATCACCCTATAAACAATGTTATCCCCAGGGTACATTTGATGTCATTTGCTTCTTCCATAGATAACCATGCAGACATTAATATCTACACAGATGGATCCAAAAGCCCCCTTCATGTCGGTTTAAATATCTGTATATTTCTCCAAACTGACATATTTTGCCCAAAATATGTTAGAAGATACAGATACCCCACATACCTCCATCTACAAGCTGAAGATGCTGTCTACCAAGCTGTTCAGTGGGCCACTTCACTACCAAACAAAACTCTATCAACATTTACAGTGATTCTCAGTCTGTCCTAAAAGCTCTATTAAATCCCAATTGCAATAGCAATAAAATCGCATATATCCAGCACCATATTAAAAATCTTGTAAATAAGATAACTTTATATTTGTTCCTGGCCATACTGGCATACTAGGAAATGAAAAAGCCGACTTTGAGGCTAAGTCAGCTACAAAGGACACTGACTTGGACTACACTCACATCCCTCTCTCACGTAGCAGCCTTAAAATTTATATTCATGACAACGCTATGCAAACATAAAATCAACAATGGTTGAGCAGTACAACTGGTAAATAAAAAGGCTTTATTTTCCTAGTGTTGAATGAAGGTTCTCATCACCACTTAGAGATTTAACGTTTGCTACTGCTCAACTATTTACTGAGCATGGTAATTTTCGAAGCTACCTGACGATGTATAATAGGGCAGAAACTGCCTTTTGCTTTTGCTTACAGAAAACCTAGACACCGTCGATCATACGATCTATCATTGTCCAATTTGCAATTAAGATAGAGTTATTCTGAAATTATAAACATTTACGCTTGGTTTCAGGAGGCCATGTCCACTGGATATGCTTGTTCAAAAGCCACTGTTTGATGCTTTTTACAATTATGTTCAAAAAATATGGAAGAAAAAACTATTTATAATTTATAATTTGTAGTTTTACATGTTAGTTTTCACTAAAAGCCGAATACTAATTTTATGTTTACTTTGTATCATGTATTTTGGTTTACGTATTCTTAGTGTTATACACCAATAGGAGTTGTGCACTTATTCTAACAAAAAAAAAAAAAAAAAAAAAAAAAGAGAGAGAAAGACCACCTCGCGGCCTTTCTCCCAAGGTAAAAAACGTGTGGAGCGTGAGCCTGCTACCGTTGTTATTCTATCACGTCACACGATATGGCGTTAGTACAACGAACGTTCTTAATAGAAACCGCCAAATTGAAGCCAAATTCAATCAAAACTTCACCACTCAACGAGATCAAAAAATAAGAATATTACGTAAGACGAGATCTATTACCCCCTACCCCTGAGTAAGAAATCGTAAGAAATCCTTGACCCCCACCCACCCCAAAATACCTTACGTAATTTATGGATGGTCCCTATGTGGTCTGATTAAATATATATTAATATATAAATCCACACGAATCCGGCAGACCCAAACCATGCATTCCAGAATTAACAAAGTGCTTCTATCTCAATCAAAAGAAGTACATAAATAAGAATGTTCTGATTTAAATATGTTCTGATAATTAAAATAGAAACGTTTAATAAAACAATTAAAATAATGACTTTTATAAAACTATTCAGATCTAATGTTTGAACTATAATAATTATAGATAACGTTAAGTGACTGTCGGATGGCCGAGAAGTCAAAGTGGCAGCCTACCACTCTGGGAGACCCGGATCGAATCGAGACGGATCGAAAAATCCCCAGGGCCCTTAGTCTCGAGTTTTTCGTGTTACAACTCCCAACGTGTTGAAGTGTCACGTGGTACCATCTCACACTCTGACGTCAAATCGGTAGTCTCCAGTTATAACTCACGTGCTTTCCCATCTCACCATGCGAGTTGCTACTCACGTTGAGTCGAGCATGTGAGATCGCTACACGAAAGTGAAAATGGCTGACAAATACGCTATTCTGATGGCAATCGAAGCGTTAGAAAGAGTCGAAAGAGTTGTTTAAGAAGTCAACGAATTTTTCGAACACGAGTAGATGCCATTTCTTTTTATGTCAAGTCATCACTAATAAAAAATTTTAATTTATAATTGATAAAATTATATAGCAAATTTTTCCAAAAATAAAAAGTATCTTATTCATCGACAAAAAGAATTATAATGATAGTAAATTATATGTGTAAATTATTAAGAGCATAGACACTATATTAAGATTATTTATTAATCATTAGTGTTAAGTTCTGATTAATAAATAATCTTAATAAACAAAACAATTTAATACGAGATCAAGGAAGAAAACTATATGAAAAAAGGATTAAATTAAAATACTTTTTCCATTACACGGCGGATTTTTTAGCTCCAATACATAATTAGAACTAATTCTCTCCACAAATCAAATTGTCTTTTTCTTGTAAATTCGTTGTCGAATTTTATATTGTTCGTTTTCTTATTATTTTCTATATATGTTACTAATACTTCTTTTTGTTCTTCGTTTCTTTTTTAAAATAAAATATTGGAGGTTTCCATTTTGCTATAGGACAAAACTTTTAACTATAACACGTGTAAACTAATTCACGTTGATTTGTTTACAACTTGTTACAGTAAAGTTGATTGGTCGAATCAGTATAGTCGCAAACCCAGATGCATTGTAAATAATCCCATCATGCTTAACGATACACGTAAACAAGTGAATATGACCTACTTCCGCTCGCCTTTCGAGCTCGCTCGATGGGTCTAACTCGAGACTACCGATTATGTGAGTCACAGTAACACGAGTGAGTTCGATGACGTCAATTCGAGTACAACACGAAAAACTCGAGACTAAGGGCCCAGGAAGTTTTCGGGAGTTGGTCCGTTCGAATATGTCGGGCACGTCCCTCACCACCCGGCCGCCTCGTTGTGGGCTTGGCCGAACCTATAATGGGCTTGCTAAAAGAGGCCCTCTTAATATCCACAGGGCGGAAAGAGTTAAAAAAAAAAATAATAATAATAATGTTAAGTGGCAAAAGTCATTTACAACTCAGTATCTTTGGATGAGACATAATACATTCTAAATAATGTTATTATTCAGTACTGAAAAGCAAAATCAATACTAATTAATTATTTCCCAAATCTTCTTCATTTTCCGATTTCTTTACTGGAATATAAACGGAATGTCTGAAATATAAGAGAAAATATTTTTATGAGATAATCTGGCTGGTCTTTGCCAAAGCACGTGGTTCGATGAATACAACTCAGTATTCATCGAACCACGTAACAAACCTTCCAGTATTTTCACTTTGAGCCAATGTATCGGTTAATTCCAAATCTTTCGTCTCCGGCAAGAATATTACCAATAGAGCTCCAAGTATAGAAATTCCTCCAAATAAAGCGAGAGGAAAAACTCTGTGTACGTGGACTGCCTAATAACGCATTATTAATTCAATTATAAGATGCAATGAATAAATTGTTGCACGAAGTCGTCACATATTTTACTTACCGCTTCCTTCATAAATGGAGCCGCTATGGCGCCTATGCGACCCATCATTGAGCACAATCCTAAACCAACGTTACGTACAACAGTTGGATAGATCTCGGCAGGCAGTAAATATATGGATATGAATGATATTGCCATACCAAATTTCGATATAACAGTTAAAATAATAAGAATTATCGAATAATCTGTAAATGTAGATATTTAAATCAACTTAAGAAGAGTATAAATTATTTAATACATTTACAATTCAGTACCTTTTGGGACAGAAATAGCTATAAGGCATATCAATCCAGTCAATGTCATTGGAGCAATTAACATAAATCTTCTAGTAACGTATCGTTGAATGTAAAAATAAAGCATACAGGCTGGTATTTGTATTAGAGCGACGAATAAATAAAATGACAAGCTGTCTACTCCAATATCATCAGCCGAGAATGCCAATCCATAATACGACAATACATTCGATATCCTGCAACATAATTTATATTACATAGAGGTATGCCTAAATTAAACAAGATAATAAATAACATATTTGTAAGTATGTTTTCTTAAATTAAATTAAAATATTTTTCTTTACAAAGTTTACAAAATAATAAACGTTTAATTATTTCTTAATTATCATTAAACTTACCAAACAATGAATAAAATTAATGTAAGTCTTCTTAAATTAGGATATTTTAATATGTCCAAAACAGTAACTTGTTTATTATCTTTTCCTTTGCTCTCCTGAATTGTATAAATAGATAAAAATAAATTGAATCGAAAATAAAGTATTTTTCGAGAAAATAACAAATAATTACTTTTATAATTCTTTCTGAAATCATTTTTAATTTATAACTCAAATTTTCTATTTTTCTTTTATTCAATTTCGCAGCTCTTTCAAGTATTTCTTCAGCTTCATCAATTCTTCCTTGAGAAAGAAGCCATCTTGGAGATTCTGGCATTATCCTATTTTTAAAAATTTAAAAAAAAATCAAAAACTAGTTGATTATTTTATAAATTATAATCGAAATTTTTCTCTCTTACCTCCAAAAAGGAAGGATAATTAAATAACATAAAGCAGGTATCAATTCTATATAAAACCAATGTCTGAAAATCCATACAAGTGTAACGAGAAACATCTGTCCCAATATCCACGAAGCAAAACATACTAAGCGCACATTTACTCTGTGTTCTTTTCTAACTGTTTCTATTACTGTTGATTGAACGTTTTGAGTATAGAATAAGTTTGAGAAACTTTCAATATATTAATCATACTTACCCAGTGTATATATTGTTAAAAATGTAGTCATTCTTCCTATAGCAAGGAAAAATCTACAAACTGCAAACATCCAAAAGTTTTGTGAAAATGCACTTATCAATCCGAAAAGAAACGTCCACGCTACACTAATATAGAAAATAGGTTTCCTTCCGTACCTGGTTTAATGATCGATTATATTTATATTATATTTAATAATAATAAATCTTTGAATTGTAATTCGGAATAGCTCACCTGTCAGACAATTGTCCACCAAGTAAACCAGTTATCAAAAATCCAAAGTAATAAAGAGACTGCGCTAAAGAAGCTAACCAAGCTCTTTCGCATACCAGATCCCACTGAAAATTATTAATTTAATATTAAATTTAAAGGAATGAGAACATAAATCAGGAATCTGGAATCATTTTCGTTAGTGAGGAAATGATTTAAATTTAAATAAAGAAATATGAATAAACTAAATAATTCAATTGTCAAGTATGTTTTTTTAATTGCATTAATATACATATAGTTTGTTGCATAATCAAAGCCGTAATGGTGTTTACCATTCTGAGAAACCAGATTCAACTCTGCACTTTGTGGCCTTTTTTTTGGGTGGTCTGTTCCAGATACATTGATTAGGTTATGATCTTTATTGCTACGTTTGTAAATATTTATTGAGAGGAAGAGTTAGCTAAGCGGTTTACTAAGTTTCGTTTTTTTTCAAAATTTTAGCTGTCGATTTGGATAAAACTTGGTCATTTTTCATTTATTGCGACGAGGAATCCAAAAATATAATTAAAATGGGTATCCGTGACTTCATTTTCGAGATACGGTGGATCAAAGTGACAATGTCCGTGCTCCCTAATTGAGCGAGCCTAATGGAATGTAGGAGGCAAAAACACCAGCATTGCGCGCGCCTAACGGAAAATAGGCGTGAAAAACAAACGAAACATTAGAACAAAGCATTCACCGATTGCTTTGTTCTTGAATCACCTCATCCTGGCCCGATGGCCGAACGGTCAAGATGGCAGCCTACCGCTCTGGAAACTCGGGATCGAATCCGGACGGGTCGAAAAATCCCTAGAAATTTTTCCGGGGGTAGTCCGTTCGTATATGTCCCTCATCACCCGGCAGCTCCATTGTGGGTCTGGCCGAATGGCCTTCCTTAATAAGGCCTTCTTAGTGCCCACAGGATGGAAAGAGTTTAAAAAAATCGCCTAATCCTTGCACTGACCGGGCATGGAGATACGATCCTTGCATATGCCGTGTCGACAATCACAAGGATCATATCTCCGTGCAGTGATCACTCCTCCCATGGTCAGCAAGTGCGAGAATCGCTTCTGCGTGGTGGTGACTGCAAGGATCTTCTCTCTGTGAGTGCAAGGACAGACTCTCTCTTTCCGGCTTCGAATCAATTTTATCGTAATACGACAAAGTCGCTCAATGTCCTAGTAACAATAAGGTTTGTAACTACCTTTCTAACAATAATTTTAAATAAATGTTTTACACTTATAGTTACAAACAATAAAAGACTGCATGCGCTCTGTGCATTAATCAAGCTTTATTCTAAGGTTTTTTCCTACTGCACAAATATCGGTTTTGTTTTGACCAAGCCGATAAATCCTGGTATTAAGCTGGTGGTAAGTTGTTAATATATATAGTAAAGCCTTTGTAAACCGGGATCAAAGGATGCCGAATATTTATTCCGATTTGGCAGGTCTCCGTTTTGAACAGATTTTTTTTTAAACGGAAAATTGCTCTGTTCCGAAGATTTTTTTCCGTTTAAGCTGATTTCCTTTTTATTCAGATTCCCTTTGCCGTACACTGTGTAATTTGGGTAAATATTCTAACTTCATAATCAGAAATACTAGAAATACTTATAAAACCCAGAATCGGACAATTAATTATTGCACAAATATGAAATTTTCACTGCACAATTCAAATTCCCATTACTCATTTTGTGTTTAGTTGCATGTTAGAATAGGCCCTTACATCGATAGTTCAACATGTGTGATGTAGGACCTTGCAATCAAGCCGTTCTATCGAAAAGAAACCTTTCGAAAAGTTTGAAGCCAATCACATATAGTTAGAGATTATGTATTTCCGAAATATTATAACAATTTCCTAGAAAGTACTGTATATATTATTAAGAAATACAAAAATGGCAGAATACATACCTTCTATACATTGGAAACAAAACTGCACTTTTCACGAACACATAATAACAAAGAGTCCCTAAAATCAGAAACTCCAAAAAAATAAACCTTATTTAGTTCAACGGAAAGTCTTATATAAGTCCAAAATTCAACGGAAAAATATTACTGTTACGATGCTAATAACAGGAGATTCAAAACCATTGTGACATAAACAGTTGAAAATAAAGATATTTTGTCTTATTTACGACTGTTTTTCCTCCTTTTTGCTAATTTGAAGCTACACCAGTACATTAATCTCGGGAGAGGTCAAAATCGATGTTTAATTGGATCCCAACCGGGAATAGTTGATCTTGGGACTTACATTCTTCTATTGTTTATACGCTAGCGTCACGGTTTTCATACAATAATTATTTCTAGCTTTTTTCTTATTTTAATACGAATTTTAGTGAGGGTTCGGACTTGTCCAGAGCCTTACACGTATTTTCAATTGAAACATATCAAGCATCAATATTATTTAATATATCAAGAAAGATTATAAGTTTATTAATACTTAAAACGGTAGAAAATTACAGTTTCATTTACATGAATTTATTAGCTTAGTTTTTTGTTTTTAATTTATTATCAACATTGAAATTAAAATAGTTTTTGTAGTAAGTATGAATCGTTAAAAACGATATTATATTTGCATTCTTTGCAAAATTTACGAAAGAATTTGCTAGTATAGAATGACGAAGCTGCGTGTATTGAAAACGACACTTATTTGCTAGTAATTGTTTTTCATTTAGAATCCCAAAGATTTATTATTTTTCGAAATGGAAAAAATAAAAAATATATTTTATATCTTCACATGACAACTAATTATTTACTAATATTTCAAGTTTAAATTAATATATCACAAAGTTAAAATATTCAAAACAAAAGACTTACTTCTTCGATTATCGTCGATCTGTAGAAGGTGTGATCATAACGTAACGATGTACACGCGATTTGACTTGTATTTTCCTCAATTGATAAACCATACATTTTGCACGTGTTCGATATTTTCACAGTATTAATTATTTCAACAGGAATGCTGTGATTTTTCCATTTTTCTGTTGTCAAATTAAAATATTCGAATGAATTTTCACACCAGTAATCGACGTTGGGAGCGAGGAAAGCCATACTCATATTGTAACATGCACCAGGTAAGCTTACATACGCTGCGATTGACATAATTATTACGTGCCATTTACCGAAATTTCCAACTAAATCACTAAGATCCAAGTTTTGTTCTTCGCTTTCATTCTCACTAAATTAATAATTAAATTAAATTCTTTTTTAATGCTTAATAATTGCTAAATATGAATGTATACTTACCTGTAAGAATTGTTAGCTAGATGATTCATAATTGGATTTCATATATTATGATATGTATAAAGAAGTCTAATCGCTTTTTACTTCTTCAATACTCTCATTCATTATTTATGTAAAACTATTAACTTATCGTAGATTATGAAAGGAAATGATTTCTAATTTTAGTTAATTTTTTAAAGTTTTGCATCCTTTCCTTAAGAATCTACAACTTAAAATATTCAATTAATGAATTTAAAAAATATTATCCAACGTAATTTTCGACATTGTAAAGTATATAAATGTTAAAATATATTACTCTATATTTTATAAAAGGTCAAAATTTAAATTTAAACATTTTTACGAATCGATTGAATAAAATCATTTTAATTTTAATTAAAAATTTTACTTTTGTTTCATTTATTTACATTTTATATACCTGCATCAGTAAATACCAATACTGTACTTATTTCTTGTTTTTTTGGGGGGTCGAATATCGAAACTGAGCTATAAAACCAGAAGGTAGTTAATAAGCGAAAAACCATATAAAAAACAGCCTTACAAATAGGACGGAATGTATAAATGTTTTATCGTCTTTAACATATATTTAATTAACATGTATACATTTAAGGGGAATGCTTATAGAGTTTATAAGCAGTCTAAATAGTTTTTTTTTAGTTTATTCGACTTAAGGGATGTAAACAGTGAATATGAACAAGTTTATGAAGAGGAGCCATGTTGGTTTCTCATTGTTTACATCTCTAAAACAAATAAATTAAAAACCAATTAACGGTGGAAGTACTACACTATGGAAAAAGTGTATTACTTATGTTTCACCCTATATTATAAAATTTGAGTAATCTATTTTTGTTATACTCAAAAAGAAAGACAAATTAAATTGAAGAAAGACAGAACTAACTTAAATCGAAAGTAATTTTATTTTTCAGTTTTTAGAATTATCTTTGAGATTTACCTAGGAATTTATCCGATATCTCCAAAAATCTAATGTTTGATCATCGAAAAACACGCATTGAAAACAAACTATTTTGACATTTCTATTAACAGGTCTAATTTAAAAAGTTAATTTGTATGTATTTTGCACGTTTTAATGAAATAAATACTATCAATTCTTTGTACTAAATAATCTTCAACTTAATTTTAAATTTAAAATAAAATATAAAACAATTGCAGTGTCATTTTCGTTTAGCTTCTAAAGGATGTTTAAAAAGAAAACATTCAGCATTTCATCATTTATATGGTAGATATAAGTTACATATACCATATTTTATTTGGTAAATATGTTTAGTAAACATATGCTAACTCACAATTCTCGAAAAAGATTAAATGAATTTTCCTTTGATTGACGAAAGCCGACAAAGAAGACACGAAAAACGACATTTTCGCTCGACTTTCAGCCAAACAAATATTAGGGCAGAGTTCCGAAATGCCTAGGGCAATCGTTGTAATAAACTTTGAATTGATTAGTTAACGCCTGAGAAGAAAACACCTACTGTTTTTAATTTAATTTTAATTTTACCACCTAGGTTTTTAATTTCATATTATTTCTCCACTTGAAATTGTTTTAAACAATATATTTCATTAATTCTGAAATTTATAAAGCAAGTTTGGGCCCGCGGACCGCATGCGGCCCAAGGCAAATTCTAATGCGGCACAATAAACGTGTAAACAAAACTGACAAATTTTTTTATTATTTATTTATTTCAACGGCATAAACCTAAAAAAANGAAACATTTGTTATGATATTTAATTTTTGAAATAAATTTGTATTTATGTTTTATGTTTGTTTTATTTTTATATTTATAAACATGCAAATTTTTTGTGATTGATACATTTTTATGCATTTGTAGTGAATTCTGTACTTGGATTAAAACCTTTGCCAAAATTTAGGTTTATAAACTGACAGAAATGGAAATTGTTAGACTATGAAATACTATGAATTACTATGTAATTTGTTGGATTTATAAAGAACAACTGATTAAAGTTTAGAATTAATTCTAAAGCAGGGGTGTCCAATCCATGGCCCGCAGGCTGCATGCAGCCCAAGGCAAGTTCCAATGCAGCCCAATAAATGTGTAAACAAAACTGACAAATTTTTTTATTATTTATTTATTTCAACGGCATAAACCTAAAAAAAAAGAAGTTTCAGAAAGCCGTAAACCTTTATACATATTTTATTTTTTAATAGAAAGGAAATATTTTCAAATATTTGAAATGTGTGAATGAGGAAGGAATACTAAATAAAGCTGGAGTCGTGATTCAAAGGATTATAGTCCCAAATTCGGGTAAAGAAGAGAAAGGCAAAAATATAAAAAGAAGTGAGAAAGGTTGGAAAATTAAGGATCAATATTTGAATAACAGAAGGTCTTCTAACCTTTCTCACTTCGTTATTTTTTGAGCTTTCTCTCCTTTTCCCGAATTTGAAACTATAATCCTTTGAATACCAACTCTAGCTTTATTTAATATTCCTTCAGCGTTGCAAGATTTGGCTACTTTGCGCCAAATTTGGCTACCCTTTTTTTAGTTTGGCGTAAAAAATATCATTTGGCTATTATTTATAAATATATTAGTTGAATAAAAATGCACTTTAAAATAGAGTTTCGTTATTTTTTTTTAATTAAAGATCCAAATAAAATAAATATTTGTGTTTTCCAAATAAATTTTTGTTTGTCCTCTTTATAATAAATAAATTTATCTATCTCTAAGTAGAAATTAAAAGTGTCTGTAGAAGTAATTTTTTAAAATATCCTTTTTCGTGATAAAGTTTTAATATTTATTACTGGACAAGTATATTGCGACCCAATCCTTAAATATACTTGTATATTTAAGGATTCGGCCACAATATACTTGTGGTCCAGAACTCCATTACTTTTTCCAATATAGCCGAGAGAAACAAAAATGTTGGACACCCCTGCTCTATAATCACATAATTTCAAAAATAAAAAATGTTCAAAACTCATTATCATTCAACGCTTCATTCAAACTGATTATCATTCAACGCATTTAGCAATGAGTCTGTAATGTCTTTCTGAGCATTCGGATTAATGTAAGGGCATTGCTATTATTTACTGATTTCTGTTGAAATTCGACAAAGTATCAATGACTTTTAGAAAGTCATTTACTTTTCAGTGGTCCAAACACTTGTGGAGAAAAATGGATATTTCAGAAAGATAATTCTGTTTTTCTCTCATTACAGTATACAATGATTGATTTAAATCTAACGGAGTTTTACTTTTATTTTAGAGAACTATATTATTTACTAATAATTCTGCAAAAAATTTATTGGAGATTCCTGTACGTGCGGCATAGAAAGATGGAGAGCATTACAAATGTATAAGTCTGACCATTAGATAGAAGTTCTTCTGAACTGTAAAAATATAACTGCGATAACTGTAACAACATTGATTACATCAACAAAGAAGCATTCTCTTGCCTTTGTAATAAATAACGGCTGCCCTATAAAGTAGTACATTCTTTATTTTCCATGAGTATTGTCTTTATACAAGTATTTATGTCAAAGTAATGCATGTATTGAGTACAAAAAAGATTTTTCTTTTCCTGTAATTACTGTCTCCAAGCAATAGCTGACAGACTTCCTAAAAGCATATTTCAAATAATATTTTATACAAAATCGTTAGTACAGTTTACCTACATACCGTATGATTATATCAGTGTTAATTATAATTGATTTTATCAACGAAACCAACCTTTTGTGTAGCACTGAGCCTGGTAATAGAATTCTGGAAGGCTTGCCTAATACATACATTGGCAGATTTGTTGAAGAAGAGACAGATAGCAATCAATTTCAAAAACACTGATTACGCTTATTGAGAGCAACTAAATATATGACAGTCTACAGCCGAAATATACAACAAACCTGTATTTGCAAGTGTCTGTTACACAGAGATTGGTCAATATCAGTTGAACTACAGAAAAGAATAGTTCTAAGAAAAAAAAAACAGATTTACGTCTCTCATCCCACTAGATAGTACCACGTTACCTACCTCTTTGATTGCCTCTGCTGTGTCTGAATGCCCGAGCTTGTATCGATTTAAAGGATATTCCATTTCCTTTCGTTAACATATCAGCAGTTACGCTCAACTTGTTCCTCTCATCCTATCGAATATTTAAAAAATTTATGTAACTATTTTAAATATGTTTTTTGTCGTGTCAAATACCTCACCGACGTTATGTTTCAGACACAGTTCCCTCAGTCCACATTCGACAAAATCTCAAATGCAACTGTTTTTAACGAGCGACTCCAATTTTTCCAAGACTTTCCCACTTGAATGCGAACTGATTTTATTTTATTATTCTTGTATTTCTTATTTCTTAGTTTAGTTAACTTTATTTATTTACTTTACTTTAGTTTCGTTTAATTTAAATTGTCTATTACACTTTTTTTTATCTGTACTTTTCATCATACTTTTTTCTTTTCTCAACAATAAATTACTTATACTCTGTCATCTGTGACGTATTAGTGCTAAAACTGCTCGCCCAGGCTAATTACATCGATAAACATCGTCTGAAGTTTTTCGAGTGTCCTACATAACCCCAAAATATTGATTTAATTTCTGTATATCAATTAACTTTTACCTACGTCAGATTTACTGGCTATACACGTAGTGCCGACTGTTAGAAAAACAAAATTTTAAATTAATAAAGTAAATATTATTCATATAAAAAGTAATAATTTTAAAATAAAGAAATTTTGTATTCAGTTAATTAGTTTGTGAACTGACCAATAAACTGACNTATAATAAATATTAAATAAAAATAAATAAATAATTTTCAAAAACAAAATATACTTATTAATTATTACATAAAAAAGTCACAGAACTCAGTAATAGTACTACACTAGTAGGAACAAAATTACACGTATTATAAATAAAATCATAGTAACCTTAACAAAATAAGTATTACACGTGAGATGAAATAGAATATTACAAATTTTTGAGTAATTTAATTTTATAATAGAGACAAAATAATATTAATAATACTTATATAGGCCTAAATAAATGCCCAATGTAGAATCTTTCTTTAAAGTTTTACTTTCTTACTTTTAGTGAAGCAAATTCATTAATTATTTTATCAAAAT